AAACCTGAAGGCATCACATGATTTCTGACTTTTAATTTTACCATTATTCCTAAAGGCTCACAAAAATATATCAGTATACCTATTGACATTCAGAATTGGATTAAGACAGAGTAGAATCCAGCAAAGTCTAATGAAAAAACAGGAAAAGCCTTAAAAGTCAGAACAATACTCTCGGACCTCAACAAGTCTAGGTGGGCAACATCATTTTCACATTCTATTTATGTAAAGCTATGGGAAAAATCTTTACTAGGTAATATCTTGTTCTCAATTATTTTTAAATTGTTTTGCCTGCTTATTATTTTAGATACACTTCCTATTTGGAAAAAGAAATTTAAATTACAACACAATCAACTACTCTAGTTGTGATCCCACCTGGTCTCCAGGGTCTATAACATCACTTCTAATGAATCTGGCAGGTGAATAACCTTTGAATATGTTTTCAGTAGGAACAAAAATATACACTTGTGCAAAATTAATTACAATAGAATCCTTACTTAAGATGGGAGGGTATTTACATGTATTTCAAGAGAGCTACCTTTAACAGGAACACAACAGAGGCCATTAATTCCCTCCAAAATTAACTGTACAGTGACAACTACAGTTGTACCAGTTCAGAGCTTCTGGCACCCCTTTTAGACTAAAGCATTGCCCTGTCATGAATTCAGGGCTAGAAAGGTCATATTAATTATTACTATTATTAATATTAATATCATAATATTATAATATATACAAAATATATTAGATTATATCTGTTATACTAATAATTAATATTAACATAAATATCAAATTATATAAAGGTTTTTGTTTTTCAACAGAAAATATTAAAATCAACGGCAATTCTCACTGCAGCTTTGTGGTTCTGTTTTTTGGGTTGGTTGTTGAGGAAGCAGGATGGACACAGATATAGACAGAGAGGAAGGAGAGGATGAGCCACCAAATTAGCATATTTGAGGAAAAAAGGCCTAAGATATAGATTTTATAAAAACTCACAAGAATGTACAAGAGCTATGAAAATTATTAAAGTAAAAGTTTATTTTTGGTTGATTTTTAAAGCACAGTTTATATGTTTTATTGAAAAAAAAGTTAAGCAAAAAGTATTCTACTGGCCAGTTACCTTACCTGCAAGTTATCATTTCAATGAAATCAAGTTGTTTTCTTTTTTCCTCCTGTGACAACTCCATGAACAGCATAATTTTAAAATGCTGTTCACAAATTACAGAAAAGTTCCCTCTTCATACAACACTTGTAGAAATATGGATTAAGAAAAAATTAAAAATGAAAAATTTGCCTTTATCTTTTTAAATAGCACTGTGGTACAAAGATGCAATACCCAGGCTATCTATTAAACAGGTTTACTATTGCTTTTCTTGGAGATACTCTCTACTTATATGAATTTTACTAAAAAATAGTGTTTAAGTACACAAGAGATATAATCCTTTTTTTTTTTTTTAGCATGGATATAGATCTTTTTCCACATTCTGTTACAGTAAGTATTCACAGTCCCCTTCACTGACAACTGAATAATCTTGCAAATGCTGTGAGATAAACTTACTTACATTTTAGCTTTCAAAGAAAATGTAGTCAGACTAAACTGATAAAGCAACTGTTCCTTAATCTCCTTCACAGTAGAGAATTAGTTTCTCTCAATTCCAAAGTGAATTGAGCATTCTTTGCATTTGATGTTTAAGTACCTGTAAATTTAACAGTTCTTCCCACTACAGAAGGAAAAGGATTTAGTACAAGCTCTGCACAGGATAGAAGGCTGTGCTAGCTGAAGAAATTTCACTCAGCAAGTAATCTTTTCCGTAGACCATTCAACAGACTGTGTTTGCTGTCATTTATTTTGAGCAAACTTCTAACATCTGCTAGCAACTTGAGTCTCTCACAGATTTTTATACTCACCTCATCTAGACTAGAGCTACTCATCCACTGGTATGGAAATTAGCAGAATTCCAATACAGACTAAATGGGGGGGAATAAAACCAAACCCAATATTTTGAATGAAATGTTAGTTTGATTCTTTCACAATTTTGCTTGGAACCTGCACACACAAAGAATAGGGGAAAAATACATGCTATTTTTCAATCAATTCTGTGAAACTTTCAATGACCATGAGAGTGTTATGTTTTCAGCCTTAAAACCTGACTATAAATACAGAGAATATTTACTGTCTCAGCTATTAGGATGAAAGAATCCCTTAATGACTAAAAAACGTTCACAGTTTCCTATGCTTGCAGGGGAAGAAAGGATTTCTACATCTGTTTGAAAAGAACTCCAGATTTGTTATTGCATATCATGAGAGGGTAGGGAATGGGGAACGGTTTCAAGGGATCCTCAGTCGCCCAGTGCAGAGTTTCAGGTTCTCTGGTCTTTGCTATTCTCTAATCTCATCTCTCCCCCTCACAGCTCTTTCCTCTTCCCCCTTCCAGCATTCAGTTTGGCACCTATTCCAATGCCACAGCATGAAAAGAAATTCCACAGTACAGGTACATATCACTGACCCAACCGAGCCATGGAGGCAGCTCTTCAGTTCTGAAGAAACAGTTAACATTGCCAAGTGCAACCTACAGAGGAGCTTTTTATTTCTCTCATTTATAAATACCCCCAAACACTCAATACCAGCACCACTTTCTTACCCAGCAGGAAAAACCTGTGTCTGCTTGGAACAGAGGAAGGTCCATAACTACATTCTATTGTCTCACTAGAGACATCGGTACTCACACACTTGTTGGTTACTCGTAAGCATCAAATAAAATAAAATGTGTAATACTATCATATTGATACCAAAGCTTTAAGATTATTTGAAATACGATTTATTTGAATATGAATTTAAAGCTTAATAGGAAGGACTAAAATGCATTTCTTGTAACAATTAAATCACAATTCAACTCTCCCTGAAATAACCTGTTAAATTGTTCCAAACAAGTAAATAAAGGAGGAAGAGCTTATCCTACTAAGTATCGAAGTGTCCAAGTCAGTCACACTGATCACTTGGTTTATTTGATACTATGACTTCCATTAAACAATTGGCCTATGCTATGTAAAATGAATTTTGTAATAGTGCCAATAATCATATCTATCCAGTCCATGGCAATTCAATGCAAGCAAGGGAGAAAAATGGGAAAAAGAGGAAATTGAACATGCAGAACAAAAACACTAAGAACTAAGACACCAGAACTCTACAGCTGCTCTGTGATGAGCCACCACAGGAACATTCACATGTAATCTTGAAAGGGTTAACACAGAACTTTGTATTTGATAAGAAGGACACACAAGATTATGCATCTCAAAGGGGAAAATTAGAAAATTTATCCTGGAATAAGAGATCAATTTTACATAGAATTTTATTAAGACATGCTTTAAGGATATTGTGAATTTATTTTGGAATGTTTGGGGAAACAAAGGAAAGGAAAGGGAAGAATCAAGGTGGTTCACAGGTGAACAAACAGAAAAAAACAAATATGAGAACGAGACTGAAATAAGCTGGCTGCTTGTGCCTGTTTCTCCATTTAAACCACTGAAACGTTCAGTGTACAAGATCAATCTCCTTACCCCCAATACCTCAGAGAATACAGAGTAACCAATATTAAATACTAATAATCATTTGGCATTAGTACATGTGTTGACACACACTATATTTATACTAGTTAATTAAGCTAGCCCAAAGTGGGTCTCTAGAACTGTCTATTGAAAGTGAACCCTGCTCTGTATTAACTGTTCACTGACCTCCAGAAGCTCTTTGAAATGGAATTAGTTGTCCTGGGGGAAATCTTTTCCCACATTTCAACAACCTGACAGTTTGTCAATAAATTCACAGAGCCTACAAGTTTTCCTCAGCTCTTCTTATTATTTTATTTTTATATACAAACAATCTATTGTATATATGCAACGTACTATATATAGTAGGAAAATATTAATATATTCTAAAGTGCGTGAAATACACAATTATATATTCCTATAAAACAGATATTTAAATTGATATTTATATAGAAACATATTTTTAAATAAAAATAACTATACCATTATATAATACACGCAATGCATATGGTATATAACATGCACATAGGTAGTCACAGATGACAGGAAAATAACAAAATTGAAATACTATCATTTAGTGTTAGAGTTTAAGTATTTAGGCAAGTAGAGGAATTTAACTCTACATTCTGCAATTGTCAAACAATCCAAATTACTTGACCAGTTTGGTGAGGAGTGCAATTTTAACAGAATTGCTACGAAACAATAACCACTAGCACAGCTGAAGTGATGCTTTATACTCACTTTGCATAGTCAAAGAGCCTGCTGTCCCAGAGCTGGTGAGTGCCTCTATACCCAGAATGGAAGAAACAAGAATCTGTACCATCGAACTGGTTGAGACCATCCTCGGAGTTTTTGGAGGCGTGGCTGTGCACCACATCAAGCAGCACTGTGATGCCCATGGAGTGAGCCACGTCAATCATTTCCTTCAGGTCGTCAGGAGTCCCGTACCGGCTGGGAAAACACAACGGGGTACAATCAGGATTTATGCTGGCAATACTGAACATTCAACATGGAAACTGCATCAAAGCCAGCAGTTCTTCATCACCTACTTTACAGATGTACACAGGTTCATTTTTCAGCCTCCTAAGCAGTCGCTATTGCTTACAAACTAACGTTTGGAACCATTTTTCATTAGAGGAATTCCATCATCCATACAATGTTTTGCAGAAATAGATTCAGTTTTATTCTTCTCTTTTTAATAATACATCAAAATCGGTATAAAAGGTAACAGATACAACTTAAAGCTGATATTTAATATTGAACACTTCCTCAGCACATAAGGGACAAGAATATATTCATATTGCGGGAATAAAGTAACACAATGATTACATAAGTAAATGTATATCCACAAAGTCCACAAAATACACCATCTGCTGTTTTTCCTGCTTAGTTATTTGGTGAGGTACTAAACAATTTTCTTATTTTTAAAAAAAGATTTTTGTCTTCTGCCCAACATGCTTTTTTCCAACTAATTAAACCAGTTTAAAACTGCCAATCTAAATTTAGCCTAGTTGCCACTTGAGCTGCTTTAAGATTAAAAAAAATAACAAAAAAAAAATTAAAACTAAATTATGACTTCCACATTTATCATCATTTTCTTAAGAACTGCCTAAATTCATTTTTCATGTAGTTTTACCCTATGCCTCAAATCTAAGTACAATCTGTTACAAGCCTGTAAGGAAAAGGGTTCCCACAGAACACACAAAACCATGATTTTAATCAAGTACATTATGAACAGTGTATAGTTCTGTTTGTCATAAAAGAAAGCCCTACACATCCTGTTTGTTACTGCCAAGAATTCCACAAACCCAAACCCATGCATAAAGACTGCTGAAGGTGGATTAACTGGAATTTGCTATGGCAGCTGAAGTTACTTATAGACTTTTTGTCTGTATCCTATCCCAAGTGTTTCACAGAGCAGCTGATCACTGTGCCAAATTGATTGCAGATTTAAGAGTAAGGTAAAGCAAACACCTAAGTCACTGCTTCCCATTATACACTTTCTTGCAAACACACACCTGCAAGCAATACTGATTTCAATGGATGGGAAAGAAGGGAAAAGAAAAGAGAAGATGCTGGAGCACTTAAACTTACCTTGATGCTGCAAAGAAACTTGTGACCTGATAACCAAAACTGGCATAGTATGCATGTTCCATAATAGCCATCAGCTGGACACAGTTATAGCCTGTAATAAAAACAAATATCATTAACAAATGCCTTAAGGATATTTAAAAGAGTATTCAGTACCTGTAACATATCCATTCCAGTCTTCTCCCATTTTAGCTGCCTCTGGTACTAATGGTTAACAATTAAAGATTCAGTAACTTTCACGAAGCAATTCTACCTAATAGTTTATACCTATGTGATCTCCATTACAAATGAAACAGTCGATTTGTCAAGTGATCTACACATATTGAATCTCCCAGATGTAGACAGAAATAAGTGTAATCCTTATTTAACTTCAGAATATTGGTTATGCCATCCTGCATGTCCTGAACTGCTTCAACTTTTGACACTTGCAGTCAGGGGTCTAGGGTTAGCCACTGGCTACACATACTATGACAAAAATCACAGGACAGCTTGGTTTGGAAGAGAACTGAAAAGATCCTCTAGCTCCCACTCCTCCACCATGGGCAGGAACACATTCCACTAGACCAGATGGCTCAACACCCCTTCCAGGGATGGGGCATCCATAACTTCTCTGAGCAACCTATTCCAGCATCTTACCACCCTCACAGTAAAGAATTTCTTCCCAATGCCCAACCTAAATAAACCCTCCTTCAATTTAAGGCCACCCCACCCCTGCTATCCACTTGGACATCAAGCCATTGACTGAAACTCTGGGTGTGACCATCCTGCTAATTCCTTATCCACCAAGTGGCCCATCTGTCAGACCCACATCTCTCCAGCTTAGAGACAATACTACAACTTCACGACATACGAAGTCTTATTTTATCCCATCAAAATCACTTCAGTTATTTCTTCCTTCTACAAGAGTCTTCCAAAAAGAGAAAACAGAAGTGTAATGTGCTTTGATTCCAAGTTCATCCAAGAACCAAAGAAGTCCAAGAGGGCTGGGGGACACACTATGTTCTATCACCTAAGATAGTTCAGTGCATTCTTCAGGGAGGAAACTCTGAAGAATCAGGTTTTATCTACAGGCTATTAAGACTTACACCACCACTACTTCTCTGTCTAAAGAAAATAAACACTTCATTCTTTAGTTTCAACAAGATGCTGTGAGATTTTTTTTTTAATTTTTCCTTGGCTGTGACATTTAAAACCAGAGCTATTATTAGAAGACAGTTGGTGTGAGCTCAGCAATTTGTCAGATTCATTGCTGATTTACAATTCAGGCTCGTTGTCCTTGTTTTTATTTACAGCATTTTTATAAATAAACAGCATCAAATTAATCTCATTCAATTTGCTTGCTACTTATTTTGCTATTTGTCATGCACATATTTCTACAACCTAGCAATATATTAGAGTTTTCATATAGTGATGTTTTTAAGCTTGTCCTAAAAAGTAAGACATTCTAAAACTGAATCTAATAGATCTTACAAATATATTTTAAAAAATATTTAACTCCCACAATATTTACTTAATATAAACAAGAAAGAACTTCAGTTATAATTTGTGTATACCCTAAATTTGATACTGCTTTTATTACTTAGTGTATCAGCCTTTTCATAACATTTCTCCACAAAGCAAAAGTTGTAGGCAAAGGAGAATGCTTTCCTAACTCTGTAAATTGGGACAAGTGAAATTCCTTGGAAGTAAAGAGTCACAGATATATAATGTAAAATCCAAAATTGCTTTTTATTAAGCAATTAATATAAAAATCTTCCAGATGTGCAAACTCCCTCATAAGTTGCAAGCCCAACTTTACCGAAAGCCAAAAGCCATGAAACATGACAACATGTAAAGCTACAAGAAAATGTCTTCTTCGGGCACTCTGATGAATAAAATAAAATAAAAAATCGAACACAAACACAGAGGTTTCAGCTACAGATGTCATGATTATTTTTCAGCAATGTAAAATACATATTTCATCACAAGGCAGTAACAGGCATTGTCCATTACAGAAACGGTGCAAAGACACCATGGGAAAAAATAATGAATGCGAAATTGAGGTGAACACTCTTGCTGTGCTTTCTGAGATAATGGCACCAGCTCTTTCACACATCCTCTCCGATAAACTAGAAGTTCTTTTCCTGAGGAAGGTCTTTCATATTTAAAGTTTCCTTGTTCTGATACTTCAGAGCTACTGTTCATAAAAGATGAAGATGGGATAAAAGAAGTCTAGCATGTTTATTCTGGCAAAATAAAGAAGAAATACCCAGGTATTTCTTTTGTCTTTCCTCAGAACCAAGCTTTACACTAGTAGAGCCAATTATGAATTAAGTATTTTCTGAAGGCTGTCACAAAAACGGGTCCTTTTTCAAGCTGAAAGAAAACCGTGCCAAAAGCAAATTACCTTGCAATAATTATCTGGGGGGTTAACAATTGTATTTTACTTAAAAATCTGGAATGGACTTTGATTCACATATCCTACTTCAGTCTTTGTTTTTTCTCCATAAATTTCACTTGTTTATAATTTTTGCTCTTCTAAGAATCTATTTTTATAGTATGTGTAATTGGGAAATGCAAAAACACCTCTAGATACTTGACAGTTATCTTTTCTAATGAGCACAGGCACACAGAAATTATCTCTGCAAGCATTTCTGGTATTACTTACCAAGATCCTTTATTCTAGGTAGTACATTGTATGTAAAGTTTTTATAAGAAGCTACTTTCCCTTCTGGAGAAGCAATTCCCACATGAGATTCATAGATTCTTAAGCTTTTTAATCTTTTTGGAGAAGGATTCTTATGCTATAAGAAAAAAAAAAAAAGTTGTCATTATGAACAGCTAATGAGTGTTGTCATAACCACATGATTTGCACAAGATGAAAAACAATTTAAGGTTTACTTTGCTTTTCCTCTAAGAGCATTCTAAGCATTTCAGAAGCAATTGACCATTTTAAACTGCTAAAGCAAATGTCTGTTTGAAATTAACATCCTTTATGAACAAGAAACTGGACATTCATGATTCAACACTTTTCTTATACTCTCTTGAAATTACACTTCAGTGTTCAAGCTGATAGCAGCCACTCCATGACATCCTTCTGTGAAGCTTGTTTGAAAATAGAGAGAGAAAAAACAGTAAGATTGGTTTTTATATTTTAAGCGCACCTGTTTTTTGCGGGTATGTGAAATCGCTGTTTTCTCTTAACTGAAATTTATAAATATTTTATTCCTCAAGAATACAGTTCCACAACACAGAATCAATTATATTCTAACTACTTAGGATTAAAACATAAATAAAAAATCCGAAGTCTGAAGACCAATACATAGCATTTCTAGATGGGTGAAAATATTTGAAAAATACAGAGGCCATTGAAGTGAATATCCT